GAACTCTTTCATACTTCCCTTCAGGCATTTACACATAGAGGCAGAGGCATACGTGCGAGATGATTTTAAATGTGTTAAGTCGCACTTGGATCGGCGACACTCTTGTAAATTTTCGGCTTCCAAGTGCAGCTGGTAGCTGAGTTGAAAGTGGGTAACACATTCCGCACATATAAACTCACCCACCCACGAATAGACATACACAACCAGTAATCAATATGCGTTTTAGCATTCATCAACCTAGGTTGCAACGCACCAGATTTGCCGGTGCAGTCATATTTTTATAAACTTAAAAAGGTCAGATCGCTAATAACGCGAATGGTTGCTGCGTTGCAATTTAGCCTGTGGGCTCATGTTAGGTGCATTTTGGCCCTTTCTTGCATGCAGAGGGAAAAGAGTGTCAGCTGGGACGGTAGTGCTACATCATGGGGCCGGTTATCCATTTCCCTTCATCTTGCATGAAGGGAAATGAAAAATTCTCGGTTACCAGTCCATCGGAAAATGCGAATTTGTCAGTGGACAGGGTGATGGGAGAGAAGGAATACAGAATCGGCAAAATGCACTAGCTTTTGAGGCTGCGATGAAATTGATTGTTTTTCTGTCAGGCTGCGATAAAATTGATCGTTAGAAAATTTAGCCTCAAAGCTGAATTTAAACCACACATGAGCATTTTCGTGGCAAATATCTTTAACGCGTCTTAAGGTGTGGCTCAGGTACAAATCTAAACTCGATTTAGGTTTTTCCAGATGGACGATAAGTATTAATATTTTGGCAGACTCACAGCCATTATTTCCAGCTAGTTTTCGAGTCTGCCCGCGGCTAGCTTATAAAGTTTGACGTAATCATGCTCGTGTCACAAGTGTGCGTAATAGATAGTTTTAAAATTTTTACCTAATACATGGGCATAATACCCCTGCAAAGCTCCAGCTTCCTGCGGTAATCGTTTTCCCGCCAAAAACTTACGTAGTCCCTTAGTGCCCGTACGTGAGAGCAAGGCACGCATTAGCGGTAATTTTTAAGAGGAAGGGCGACACATAAGTTAAGAATACGTTCCCAAGATTTCGGCCTCTCAGCTTTGACCGTTGCTGGGCTGAAAGTGGGTGAAAGAGTCCACTCGCTTTTCAGAACTCACACACCGACAACCTCTGGACAAAATGCGTCTTTGCTCACCGTAGCAACATTACAGCGCTGCACGGCAGAAACGCATAAAAATGCATAAAATTGCGACAATGCATGAAAGGCAGTGAATTCACTGATTTATAAAAAAAGAAAACAATTATGTACCCGTAATAATAAATGTTAAAATGTAACGACGCTGCCATTGCTTGGTAGACCAGCGAGTAACCGGGAAAGGAAAGTCTCACTAGACGCAATGACGTTAGAAAGAAAAAATGAGTTTTTTCAGGCAGCGATGACCACAACTGCATGCGTGCTTCCACTGGTGTTTCACAAAGTCTATATGTATGCAGTCTTCGCCAAAACTGTCGTTCTCTGCAGCATCATTGGATTCGTACATACCGTGGTCGTACTACCGTTTCTGTTATCAATTACCGAAGCGTTCGTTCCATCGCGCCAGCCACTACCTCGCAAGCGGCAACCAGTTAACCTCCGGTCGTTCGGTGGGAATCCAGCAGAAGTTGATTTACTCAGCAGGACTCCGGCCAATTCCGAATTGATTTCTGGCGATCCAAACAATTCTGACTTGCAGAGCAGGGAAGCACAGGCCATTGAAATGCATGAGTTTCCAAAAGATGATTTAAATTTACATGAAACTGTCAGGAGCATGCCGGTGATCAGTATTTGATTTTGAATTTTCTCAGATATCCGCAGTTTTTGCTCGTACTTTTGCCATGCCAGTGTTATTGTGCTGGAATTTTGGAAAACGTGTTTTAGCATTGGCTTAGGATTTTCTAAAGCATTGCTTGCTATTTGACGAGTTTGAAATTATTTATCAAATACCAGTTATCACTTATATTACTCATTTGAAACTTAGGTTTAGTACTGTATTATTATTTTTTTTTATGCCTTCAACGTAAGCACGTTGAATTGCCATCTTATTCCATTTTGCACATGTACATGATTCTCATCTTTGTTTTTTGGATGCTGCTCATTTTGATTTTTTCTCAACTGTGTTGTGTGATGCTTTCTACAGTTTGATGCACTGTTTTATTCGGAGTCAAAGAGGTGAAAGTACATTCAGCTTCGGCTTGTCTCGTCGATAACTGCCTTTTGCGCTTTTTTTGTTGCTTCTGCACCGTTAATTTTTAAAAAATGTGTGGAAGAGTCAATTGCAAAAAGTTTTTCCGATTCCAAAAACACTTGGTCTACGCTTATAGGCCATCAGTGTTAGTCGCGTGACGTTTCACATGCTTTCCGGGAAGTGTCTGCTCCTTAGTTCCTTCTTCAGTGGCCATCCACAACTGCAATCGTACCGCAAACGAGAATCTTTGCATCATTTAGCCTGGCTGATTCGTAGTGGTCTTCCAGTTTCCAGACAACTGGCCTATTATCGTCGGCGTGTGACGAAGGAATATCAAGAAGCAGCTTGTGCTTCATCCCTAGCTGTAAACATTTATAGAACACAGCGTGTAGGTTGCAGACGAGTCTTCAGCAAGACTCACGTGCCATGTATTTGATGAGCGTGTGCCTGCTCGCATTCAAGTCTAGGGAGTATAGGAGGCTTTGAGGGAAGGAAAAGAAAAACAGCAAAGAATAAATGGCCAACGCACGGGCTGCCCGTGCGAAGATGCGTTTTTTGCAGAGTTCCCCGCAGT